CATCTTTTTCTTCTCTGAAGACAAGGGGATGAGCTTGCCCTCCTTTCTTATGTTGGGAGGCTCCTTGCTAGAAGAAAACTTATATCCTTTCCTAATGTCTTCATTCATTATTTTCTTACGGGCCTTTTTCCTTCTGCTTTTTAAAGATACTGAAGCTTTCTATGTCTTGAGATACTTTAATCCCTAAAGCCCCTTCTGACTGCTTTACTGTTTCCTTCCTTCTTTTTATAGTTAAACTCTAGAAAACTTGACTTCATGTCTTGCTTCCATTTTGTTTCCACCCAATTCCTCTTTCATTTACTGCATATTACCTTCATTACAAAAAAAAAAAAAGTCTCTCTGGTCATCACCAATAACCATCATGGACAAATAAAATTTATTTCCTTAATTTTCATCTTTTTTAACCACTCTTCTGCACTTGTCACAGTTGATTAGGTCCACTTTCTTGATATTTTTCTCTGCTTTGGCTTCCATACACTGGTTTTTCTCCCACCACACTGACCATTCTTTCTCAAGTTTCTCTTTTAATGAAGCCTCTTTCTTGAATTGGCTTGAAGTGCTGTCCTTGGCCTTTGCATTTCACACTTTACTCTTACCCTTTGGAGAGCTCATTCACTCTCTCAGTTTCAACTACCATCCTCTTGCTAAAGATTCCAAATCTGCATTCCAGCTCTGACCTTCCTTTTGTTTTTGTTTTTCAGTCCTAGTCACTTGTTTTCCTGACTTTCCACTTAAATATACTGCCATCAGTTGAAATTTAACAGGTTAAATAAATACAGTTCTTCTCTAACATACTGGTGCCTCCTCTAAACTGCCTCATTTTTATCATTGTGTGGGTGGTACCATCCTGTGACCCTCAGGTTTATAATCTTGTAGTCATCTTTAACCAATATCTCTATCCCCCATGTTTATTAAGTAAAGAAGTATCAGTTCTTCCTCCAGGATTTTGAACCTTCATATCCACAACCCTCATTCTCATCAACTTACTTCTGGGTCACTTAAACAGTCTCCTAATCTCTTAACTGTTCCACTGCAGGTATCTAAGAGAGGAATTGGCAAACTACAGTCCATGGGCTAAATCAAGCTTGCCACCTGTTCTGTATGGCTTACCAGCTACAAATGGCTTTTACATTTCTCAGATAAATAATAAATATCATGTTTTTGTGACATTTCAGTGTTCATAAATAACATTTTATTGGAACACAGCCATGCTCATTTGTTTACGTTTTATCCATGGCTGCTTTCATGCAACACTGCAGAGTTCAGTAGTTGTGACAGAAACCACATAGCCTGTGAAGCCTAAATTATTTACTATCTGATCCTTTACAGAGAAAATTTGCTGACTCCTGCTCTAAGAGTTTCCTTAACTTGGTTTCAAAGTCCTCTGTCAACTCTCCTCACCTTTCTGTTTAAGCCCCTTTGCTCTGACCTCTCACATGCACTGTTAAATCCTATGATGTTTGTTTTTTCCTCTCTAGAATTTCTTACCACCCTACCAGTTCATGCTATACACTACTCAAGGCTCAACTGGAGGCTTTTCTTCTATAAGAATTCCTTCTCAGCATGATTTCATTCTTTTGATCTTTCCATTATCTTGAACTAACTCCTCAGGAATTTTTCATTCTATACTATATTTTTAGGACTTGTACTTTGTTCTTTAGATAGTCCATGTTTAAAACATTCCATGTTCTTTAGACATTCCCGTTTTCAAATATGCTGTAAGCTCCTTGTGTGTAGGGGCTTTGTCTTCCCTTCATTTGAGTACTTAGTAGGTGGCAATCCATTTTGGTGAATCATCCTTTAGCATGGCCTTCCATATAGAGAATTTTTAGAAACTAGAAACATCTCTTTTTTCTCCCCCACTTGCTCACCTTCTCTAATGGGGATATATGCAGCTAATAAAATTAGTGTTTTGTTGTGTTTTTAATCACTTACCCAACATTTAAGTTGTTATCTGGTTAGTAAATATAATGTAAAATGCTCCTTTATTATCTGCTGATTCTAATTCTTTCCATGTCTTAGAGTTTAGGGGGCAGGGAAATTAAGTCAGCAATAGAGTCCATGGAAATCAAAAAAGAGTTATTTGAATGCCCATTTTGCCACACTGCACTGTGGGTTTTTATAGATAGGTCCATTCAAGAAAACATCTATTTGTTTACCTGAATGTGACATTCTGAAATGGACAAAGTATGGTACTGTACAAAGTAGAAAAGCAGAAAAGAAATTGAGGAACAAATTGAACTCACAATAGGAAAATACATTTAGCATTAAAAACTAGCAGTTAAGTATTAATATTATCCATAGTCTAAGGCCAGGTCATGATAGTAAGTACATCGTAAATGCATGCATTACCTTTCTAATTTGCATCACAGAATACATCCTTGTAGAGTTGAATTTATTGTTACTTAGAAATTTGATATTAAATTTAGGGGCAAATTTCTCCCGATTCTATTTGAAGCCACTGCATTTTATTCAAGATTAGGGAATCAGGATGGGTGTCTGGGAATGGAGCACAAAAAGTTACAAGAATAATCATAATATCATCCAGCTACTATGTGTGGAGCACTGGCCATATGCCAGCACATTATAGGTCCTTACATATATTATGTGTTATCTTCATAAAAACACTCAAACTAGGCAGTGATGAGAAACCTGGGACTCAGAAAAGTGAAATAATTTGCTCAGGTTCACACAGCTCATAAGTGGTACAGCCAAATGAGAACTTTTTTTTTTCTTTTACCTACAGTGCAGTGCTGTTTTGGAAAGATGACCAAGGAAAGACCATGGAAAGGGAAGGGGAAGGGCTTGAGGCAGACACAACCCTGGTAGGGGTGAAGGCCTCTTGCAAGAAAGAGTAAGCGTGTAAGGCAAGAGAACTGAGTGTAGCAGATGTCAGTTTGGTACCAGAAAGGGATCAGAGAACCCGGTGTCCCAATGTGATGCATCTTAATTTCTGACTTTACAAATACTAAAGCCAGTTGGCAAGCTATTGCATGCTGTCATCTACTATCACCAAAATATAACTTCATTTTTCTCACAGCATCCATGTTATGATTAAATTCCTTGCATGATGTTGGTTAAAAAAAAAAAAACAACAGAAAAAAACCCACAAACAAACTTTGCAGGAGCAGTATAGGCCCTTATTTAAGAAGGAAAAGAATACATAAATGATTCATCTCTAAATTGGCATAGAATTGCTTAGTGCTTTCCTTTAACCTTTAGTTTTAATTTGGTTTAACCTTTAGTTTCAGGTTTAGCTATGCCTTCCAGTGACTCTAATGACAGGGAAGCTGTAAATGGATTTGAGTTAAGTTCCTGCAAAAAGTGAATCATCAGGCACAGAAAAGCCATTTCTTCAATATAAAGGGTGGAAAGAGCAAATTAAAGACTAGTCTTTAATAACCAAATGTAATTAAAATGCATTGTCAGATTTATGTTTTAGTACCTCAGAGGCATTGATATGGCCTGTTTCTGAAATAAGATTGCCGATTCCAAAAAAAACCCAGCCTTCAATATATAGAAAATTCTCATAACCTCCTCCTCTTGTTTTAATTGCGATATTCTGATATAATTTATAGGGTAAAAGAGAAATGTATCTCTGGAGGAATTTGTAAACATACTTAAGGTTTTGCCACTTACGGAGCTTGAAGCAGAAGGATTCTTTTTCTATAATCAAGTATCATTTAGAAAATGACAATATTTATTAAGTTTCTTGGAGTGTTTTCAGTGGTACAAATCAAACCCTCCTCTTTTTTTTTCTCCTGGAGTAGTTCAGTTGCTTAACTACAGTCATTCAAAAGAGAGGCAGTTTGGCTTATTACTGACATTCTGGTTTCTCCTTTTATGAGGCTGGTCATGTGGGCAAAGTGGCAGCCTGGCTGTCAGACATTCCTGTTGAGCCTCTGCTCCTCCCTCCAGGGCCATAAGAAGTGGAGAGGAGGGGCCCCAGAGGTATCTCTCTGGGCGACTGGCTGGAGAACTCAGGACAGCTAGTTTCCGTTGCAGGGGCTGCAGGCCCCGGTATACAATGGACAGCAAGGGGGCTGCACAGCCCTGGGTTACCCCACTTCAATTTCCTGATCTCACTTTTCATTTCATTTCCCTACCCTCATCCCCAAAGCATTAATGATGTAATAGTGAGAGGCTGGTGACATGCTGAGGGCTGCAGTGATCCATGTATTCCTTATTCAGAAGTCTTAGCCTGAATGCATCTGTATGAAAATTATAGAGAGGGTAGAATCATGATTGTTTATGTCAACAAAAAGTGGTATCAGTTAAAGAATAATACAACACTAGATTGAAAGTAGCAATAACTGGATTCTGCTATCTTCCTCTGACCTTGAAAAAGACATATAACTCCTCTGCATGCCTCTTCTCGAGACCTGGGGTAATGCGTGTTTTCTAGCGCTGTTGTGTAGATGAGGTAACGTACATGAAGTGTTCTGAACTCCTTAAAGAACGATGTCAAAGCAGTGAAATGCAATGCTGTTATTACAGTAAAGATAGGTGGAGGAGGAGGAGAAGGAGGGGGAGACAGATCTACATTTTCTTCCTTAATCTTCTAATCTTTCCAGATGCTGGTGGGTCCTTTGAGTCCCCTCTCTGCTCCTTAGATTGCAGTGGTGGGGGGTTCCATGCTGGGGTGCAGGAAGAATGCCCACTACCCTCTGAATCTGTGTTCATCAGGAAGGCCTTTGTAGGCATCACCCAGTGTGTTGTGCTAGGGGAGCGCAGGATCTGCAGATAGAAGAAGGCATCTCTCTCCCCTCCGCAGGCTGAGGACAGGAAGCCATGGACTGTGTGCATCTCCAGGGCTTGCCTACTCCTCTTTCACAGAACCCACGGCCTGGTGCCTGGGCACCTCTGGCCACCCTTGTTGAAAAAGGAAAGTGAATCCAAAGAGGCCAGTGCTTCCCACTGAGCTTGTGAAGTCCGGCTGACTGGAAGTCCTTTTGGAGCAGCCTAGCAGCGTGAGCACAGTTGTTACTGCCCCATCAGCCATGTCCTTCAGTGCCACCATTCTCTTCTCCCCTCCCAGTGGCAGCGAGGCCAGATGCTGCTGCTGTGGCTGTAAGAGTGAGACTGGTGGGGGCAGCACAGGCTCTCAGGGCGGGAATCCTCCTCCCAGCACCCCCATCACAGTGACTGGACACGGCCTGGCCGTGCAGAGCTCAGAGCAGCTCCTGCATATTATCTACCAGCGGGTGGATAAGGCAGTGGGTCTGGCTGAAGCCGCTCTGGGGCTTGCCAGGGCCAACAATGAGTTGTTAAAACGTCTCCAGGAGGAAGTGGGTGAGCTAAGGCAAGGGAAAGTGTCCATCCCTGATGAAGATGGGGAAAGCGGGGCACATAGTTCCCCACCTGAGGAGCCTGGGCCTCTCAAGGAGAGTCCTGGGGAAGCCTGCAAGGCTCTGTCTGCCGTGGAAGAGGAGTGTGACAGCGTGGGCAGCGGCGTGCAGGTGGTGATCGAGGAGCTGCGGCAGCTGGGAGCGGCCTCGGCTGTGGGGCCTGGGCCTCTGGGCTTCCCGGCCACCCAGAGAGACATGAGGCTCCCGGGATGCGCCATGGCAGCCAGCGAGGGGGCCCCACTGCTCAATCCCGTGAGTATGGCAGAGGGTTGCTGCTCCCGAGCACTTTTCCTGGCCTTTTGCTCTTTTTTTCCCTCTCTCTTATCTATCTTTCTCCCCATCTTTAAATCTTTCTTTGTGGTAAAACAAAACAGTACCAAGTTTCCTTTGCTTTTGGAGACAGTCAGCACCCCTATTTTCTTCCTGATCCCTGAGGCTCTTTGGCAGAAGGTCATTTTTTTGGCATGTGTGGTGAGCAGGTGCCCCTCCCTCCCTCTCAATGGCTTGCATGGCACCTTCTCCTCCGCAGCTGTCTCGGCTGCTCCATGGGCTCTGCCTCTCCTGGCGAGAGTGCCTGCCGTGCACAGACGGCTCATTCATATTTTATCGTGGGCCGTCTGCTTGCCAAGAGGAGTTCAGTACAAAGAGAGATGGGAATGAGAGGGAAGAGAGGCAGAGGTGGAGGGACAGGAGGAAAAAGTGCGAGGACAAAGGTAAAGATCATAGACGACAGGTATGGGGAGGGAAGGAGCCAAGTAGAAATGAAAGGTTGAGGAAGGAGAAAAAGTGGGGGAAAAAGGAGCATGGAAGAAAGGTGAGTCTATGTGAGAAGAAGAGAATTTACATGGGAGAGAGACTATGAGGTAAGGTGGGAGGGAGGTAGAGGAAAGGAAATAAAATGTGAAAAAGAACTGGACGACTGAGAGTTAATAGTAGAGAATAATGTATAGGGAGAGAAGGAAGAAAAGAAAGAAGCAAGTGAGCATATTTTGTGAGCAGGAAAAGACGTAGAAGTATATTGTGCTATTTCAGTTTCTATACTGCTCAAGGGCCATATGAGCAGGAAAATCCTGGCTGAGTGGAGTAAGAACTGCAGACCGCGGCACATGGAAGTCTGAAAAGGAGATAGAGCAACTATAGAGACCATAGAGGTGGGAAACTAACAGATGTGGTGCCACTTGAGAGCCAGCGGGAGGTCTGTCAGTCTCCTCCACCCTACTCTCCGTCCCCCCTTTCTCCCTCCGCCCCCCACGACAAGGCATAGACACCCAATAAAGAGTAAAGGAGCAGAACACACAGGGTAGATGGGAGGGATAAAACTCCCAGCCCATCTGCTGGATCTGAGAAATGAATACATAAACTCCCCTCTCCCCCTCCAGTGTAGCACAGCAACTGGCCACTGTTCTCCGGAAGGCACCCCGTGTGGGTATGGCCACTGCCGCTCAGCCCAGGCTGGGCCAAGTCAGGCCTGTCTCAGTGGTTCGGGCCTGAGGGAGGAGGGCCTGGGAGGTGGGAGGCAGGAGGGTACCATTGCCCTGAGCTGTGGGTTCTTTGAGGCAGGGAAGGCTTCCAAGCCAAGAGGATGGAATTAGATTTCACAGCGCAGAAAGCAGCTCACAGGTCTATAAATCTCAGCCTCCTCCCCCGCTTCTTTCTGTGTGTGTGTGGGTTTTTTCTTCCCACTTTCACCGTTTTGTTTTCTTGGCTGCAGAGATCCCCCCCTCCTTTCTTCCTCCGTCTCCCTTGCTCCCTCCTTCCTTTCCCTGCCCTGTGTGTCCTTGAGTGAGGGCACAGGCAGTCAGGGGCAGGAAGAAGGTGAGGGCACAGACTGGCCCTGGGCTGAAGGGTAGGTGAGGGGAGATCTCAGCGCCAGCCCCTCTAGTGATTTCTGACTTTGTATTTCCCTCCTTTGCTCTCATTTTTCTTTTATTTCACCTCTTTATTGTTGTTACTGTTTCATTTTCTTGTTCCTTCTCTTGCTTGGTTTCCCTTTCTTGTGATCACTTCCTTCCCTAATCCCTTTAAACAAAACTTACCTAGCTACATTTCTTATACCCGAGACCAAACCATAAATGACTGCTCACAGGGCCGGGTGCGGTGGCTCACGCCTGTAATCCTAGCTCTCTGGGAGGCTGAGGCGGGAGATTGTTTGAGTTCAGGAGTTCGAAACCAGCCTGAGCAAGAGCGAGACCCCGTCTCTACTAAAATTAGAAAGAAATTAATTGGACAACTAAAAATAAATAGAAAAAATTAGCTGGGCATGGTGGCGCATGCCTGTAGTCCCAGCTACTCGGGAGGCTGAGGCAGGAGGATCGCTTGAGCCCAGGAGTTTGAGGTTGCTGTGAGCTAGGATGACGCCACGGCATTCTAGCCCGGGGAAACACAAAAAAAAAAAAAAAAAAAAAAATGACTGCTCACAAATACAGCGTCAGAAACATGCCTTGTTCTTGTGAGCAGCCCTGTGGTAATGACCCAACATGGGAGGCCCTGTACACATGTGACATACTTGCCCGACACTCCCATAGGAGTCCCAGAGAAACAAGCTGTTGATCATTAGAGACTGTGCTAGATTCTCCCCTTCTTTCTACTCTGTGTTCACTGTTCTTGGCCAGAGAATGATGGTTGACCAGGTTCCCCTATGCCTGGCTGGCTAATGAGCTATTCTTTTTTGTACTCTTAGCTGGTGGATGACTATGTGGCCTCTGAGGGTGCAGTGCAGCGAGTGCTGGTCCCCGCTTATGCCAAGCAGCTTTCACCAGCCACACAACTGGCTATCCAGCGGGCAACCTCAGAGACAGGGCCAGAAAATGGAACCAAGCTGCCACTACCCCGCCCTGAGGACATGCTCAATGTTGCTGCTGCATTGGACGGTGCCTTGGAAGAGTCAGGCCCTGGGAGCACTGGCGAGCTGAGACACTCTCTAGCATTTACTGCTTCCCCATGCAGGACCAGAGGAAGTGGGCAGAAGAATTCTAGGCGCAAGCGGGATCTGGTACTCTCTGTGAGTGAGCTCAATTTCTATAAATTTCTCTTCAGTCTGGAGGGATAAGGGAAGAGTGAAGGGTGGGTTGATTTTAAGCCTTCTATGATGAATGAATGGTATACTGAATCTGACTGGAGTGGGAAGGGCTAGAAGAGAGATTATCCTGTACCCTCGGGATAGGCAGTTCCCCTGTTATAAATTGAGCTTCTAGGCTTTTCCAGATAAAATGATATCTTCCTTTTAAAGAAAAGGGAATCTCCCAGTGTTCTAATAATCCTGATGGGAAGATCTTTAAGGAATTGAACAGGCTGATCACCAAAAGGTAGTACTGGAAACTGCCTACAGATTTAGCCAGTGTGCCGGGTCAGTGGCAAGAGGCCCCCTGGGTGGAAAAGCCAAGCTGTCCTCAGGTGGTTACAATCCTCAAAGATGCAGAGGGCCACTAGACAGCTCAATTATAAAGGTTTAGAGAGTCTAGTCATTCCAAGAGCACTTGGCAGGGAAGGGACTGGCCTGAACTGGGTCTGACCGAAACCTCCTTGGAGTGGCTGGGAGCCCTAGGAACACGCCGCTGAGCTGGTAGCCCCCAGCCTGGCAGCTGACACAGACTTAGAGATCTAGGGCAGTAGTTCCCAACTTGGGGTGATTTTGCCCCCAGGGGACATTTGGAACTGTCTGGAGACATCTCTGGTTATCACTGGTGAGGGGGCAGGAAAAGGTAATGAGAAAATGTTACCAGCATCTAGTGGGCAGAGGCCAGGTCTTTTGCTAAACATCCTACAATGCACACGACAGCCCCCTATAACAAAGGATTACCTACCTCAAAACGTTAATAGTGTGGAGGTTGAGAAACCTTCTTCTAGGGTAACTACAGTCTTTTGTATCAACTCTGTGCCCCAAAGCTTCTTTCTGATAACCGTGGGGATGTTCTTCAGCCATATATTGTTCACGTATACTGTAACGAGTTTCCATTCTCTGGATAACGGCTGATGTGAAGTAACTGGAGAGTCCTGGTTGGGAGTGGAAGTCACCACTCATATCCAGCCTAACTCCCATCATTATGTAGATTCCATTTCTTCTTGTTACAAAGCCGATTACCATTTATGCCTCCTTTATTTCTGTTACTTCCTTATTCCTTTTCTTTTATCTCAGAGATCCTACTCTTCCTATCCCTTATTCATTTGATTTATCACTGACAGATTCCACCCACCACCCCCTGCCCCCCCGGTCAGGAAGACACCCATTCATAATCAGTATCAACTTGTTTCTAACTTTCATTTTGAATTTTGGTTATGTTCAGGGACATCTCCTCACTGATCAAGAACAGGGGATGAGTTTGGTTTCCCTGTCATGGAGTTATGGATTTAGGGATTTATGGCCCCTATTGGGCCACTCCTGCTGCCAGTAATAGGATTGGAGGTGTATACCTAAAAGTGCGTTTCAAGGGATTTCCCAAAACTTCATAGTGTTTAAATCATAAATATATGTGTGATAATTATAATTTGCATAAAAATCAAGATATTCCATTATTTCCATTCCACTCCTGCCTACTGCCTCCTGCCTCCAGAAAGAGGTACAGTGCCGAGGCCTGGCTTCTTCCTTCCTTTTGGAGAGCTTGGTAGAACCGAGGGACTGCTGAGAGGATAATGTGCTCACTCATCATGCTTTCTCTGTTATTGCGCTTGAGAAGGATCTAGAGTCAGGGAATTTTGCTGCCCATCACAGAGGAAGGTTTAAAATATTCTTGTGCCAGACTATGGGTTTAAAGGGGGAGGGATAGTTGCAGATCTTCACTATTCTAATCTTTAGCTTTGGGAAGGAATCAAAGAGGCACCTCTCCAATCTGCTGGGGCTCCTGTGGATTGCTGCTAGGGATTCTGTGAACCAAAAGCACCAAACCAGAACTCTTAATTCCATGGAATGCTGCAGATCCCAGCCACTCTTTGGGGAAATGTATTTATTTTTAGCTCACTCAGGAGGTATGTGAGCCAGCAGCCTTTATAGTCTTAACACTTATTATTGTCTAGAGTATTTTCCCTTTCCACTTCAAGCCTGGTTTGATTTTTATCAGCTGATCTCTTCCAAGCCACTTGAGTTGGAACCTATACAACTCCCTTTTTCTTTTTTTTTTGAAACTCTCCCAAATACTTTCTGAAACATTCACCCACTCCTTTATGATTTCTTAAGTTTGGACTGCTAAGAGGTAAAATAACCATGTCAAATATGAAGCTAGTAAAACAACAGTCCTTTTTATAGAGTGGAGACCCTAACCCTAGAGTTGACAGTACGTTCCTAAATTGGTATGGTCAGTCAGCTGTAGAGGCAAAAGGATAAATTGAGCATTTCTGAATACGGAGCTGAAGCCTTTAGACCAGGATAGGAATCTGTCAGTTTGGGACTGGGTAACTTTCATTGAGTGAGGGAACTTGAGATGAAAATATAATTAGAAACAATAAAACTAAATTTAACAGAAGGAAATGTAGAATCCAGCATTAGAGTTCAAAAAACCAGTTGCAGAATGGTAGAGACAGTATCCATGTGAAAAATGGACCTGAGTGGACTATAAGCCCACTATGAGTGAACGCTATGACACTGTGAGTGAGGGTGATGTTGCTGAGAAAGGTCACACCGTCTTAGGTTTCATTCCTAGAAGTATAGGGTTCTACTCAGGGAAGTAACGCTACCTTTGGCCAGACCTCAACTGATGAGTTGGATTCTGTTCCAGGTGCCACTTTATAAGAGGGAGACTGGAAAACCAGAGAGCTTCATAGTCTGATGAGGAGTCTGTCTGGAAACTATGTCATGAAAATGCTTGAAGGACTTGGGGGTATTTAGGCCAGATAAGAGAAGATATTCAAATATTTCAGGTGTTATTATGGGCAAAACTGGGGTTAGATTTTGAAGCATCTAAGGCAAACCTTCTTAACACTTAGAAATGTTCAACACTAGAATAAACTGACTCAAAAAGGAGAACCCATTATTAGACGTGTATAAGCAAAACTGAAAGACGGCTTGTTTAATGATGTAAAAGGGAGATTGGGTGATATAGTCTCCCAGGTCCTTTCCAATTCACATCTCTGTTGTTTTAGATTTTTTTTTTCAAACTGTGGTGTGTATACCCCTGAGATTTGTGGTAATGTGCAAAGGGATATATAAAGCCATGGACAAACCTAGGGCATCTTCCTGAGTCATCAATTTCACTGGAAGATGTCAGATGACATCTTTATATTAAAATAAATACAGATATATTTTGAAGACAAATGTGAAATTTGCAAGAGTAGGAGACTTCAAGAAATGTCCACTTGCAGTAGTCCTGGTGTGTCTTCGCTCTCTCCTCGCCATTAGGGGTATGTTCACAGAAATGTTCGAGACCCTCTGCTCTAGTGACCACATTACTCAGAAGCAGAAATAAGACCAGGGATGATCCTGGAATCCTACACAAATTATAAGAAAAGAAAAGACTGCATTAGAACATTAGAAATACTAACTTGGCTAGGCTCTCTGGCTTAGAAAGGGCATCTACAAATATGGTACCTAGACTATGGGAAATATTCAGGCAGAGCACCCCATAGGGACAACACCTTTTTACTTCTAGGGACCAGAGGAGAGTTTTCATAGTATCCACTCCTGGCTTGATTCTGTTGTTTTTGTTTTGTTTTTCCCCCTAGAAATTGGTCCACAATGTGCATAACCACATCACCAATGACAAGAGATTCAATGGGTCTGAAAGGTATGGTCCCCTTGAGGAAAAAGAATCACAAGGTCCTTTGCAAAGGAGAGGGAAGTCGAGGGGGATGCTCCAGTACAACAATGATACTAAGGCTTTGACTTCACCATTGTCCCTTGTATTCTGTCTTAGGCCATGGAGGGATATGCCACAAAGTTGATTAGTGCTGGGTATCTCATTTGTCTGGTTCTTTCAAAGCTGACTGCCTTATTCACTCTCTTCTCTTTGTGGCAGCATCAAGTCCTCTTGGAATATTTCAGTAGTAAAGTTTCTTCTGGAAAAGCTCAAGCAGGAGCTGGTTACCAGTCCCCACAATTACACTGATAAGGAGCTGAAAGGTGAGAAAAACTCACCTTTTAATTTCCAGCCCCTCACACTCCCATGTTCTTGGTCAGAGGGGAAGAGGCATAACGGAAATGATTTGGGTGGTTTTCAAAACAGTGGATTTAAAATCTTTTTTGGGGGGGGGCAAGGGCAACATACGTAACCTAAACATCTGTACCCCCATAATATGCTGAAATAAAAAAAAAATCTTTTTTTTTTTTTGGCTATTCTTCTCACCTACAATATATTCATAGGATTACCTCAAATTGCCTTTTTATTCTCCTACTCAGTCTGATATGAAAATGAGAGAAGGGCTAGAACACCATCATGCATTCTGTTTATGCCAGGCCTGAAGCTGAGGTGTTATGAAGAAGTCAGAAGCCAGGCCTGCCCTTTTGTCCCTAAATATTACATCCTGGACTTTCTACTTTGTTTGCTCTCTTCTGTTAAAATGACTGAAGAGCTAACCCTGAAGTATTATGAAAGCTTCTGCTGAAAAAGTACTTGTAATCTGCTGTCAGAGTAGCAACAGGGGTAGGTTTAATTGGCGGGGGCTGGGGGAGAGGGAATGCAGAAGCAATTGGAGTTTTCTTTTTCCAGTGGGAGATAATCTAGAGGAGCTAGTGTTGGAGGTGGAGGTGGACAAAGAGAGCTAAACCAAAGGGGAGTGAACAGATGCTGATGCATATGCCAAAAAAGCCCATCGTCTAAATAGTGATTCCCAACTTCCCATTCAGTAGTGTTAGGGCAGAAAAATGAGCTGAAGACCACTGCTCTAGAAGACTCTGCTTCTTGCTTCTCTCCCTGCCCCCTCTCCAGGAGCCTGCGTGGCTTACTTCCTTACTAAGAGGCGTGAGTACCGCAACTCCTTGAACCCCTTTAAAGGCCTGAAGGAAAAAGAGGAGAAGAAACTTCGAAGTCGCCGATACCGGGTAGGTTTCTAGGCCTTCCTTTCAAGATGCTAAACTCTAAACCCTAATAAGCCACAGTGGGAAGGGATAGAGGACATGGCATCTGAGAATAGGGTTGAGAGCCAGGAATGTAGGCAGAGAAGGATAAGCCAATTCTAAGATTTGACTTGGGGACTGGGTTCTTTTAGGCACTGATCTTACACAGCCTTCCCCACTCAAACCCTTTTTCCAAATCTAATCTGTTTCTCTTCCTAACCTTTGTCCTGGGCTTCTCCCTTAGCTTTTTGCCAACCGATCCAGCATCATGAGGCATTTTGGACCTGAAGACCAACGCCTGTGGAAGGATGTGACAGAAGAGCTGATGTCAGATGAAGAGGACAGCCTTAACGAGCCAGGTGTCTGGGTGGCCCGCCCTCCCCGTTTCCGGGCCCAGCGCCTCACAGAGCTCTGCTACCACCTGGATGCTAACTCTAAACATGGCACCAAAGCCAACCGTGTATATGGGCCTCCCTCAGACAGACTGCCTTCTGCTGAAGCCCAGCTCCTTCCACCAGAACTTTACAATCCTAATTTCCAAGAAGAGGAAGATGAGGGAGGTGATGAGAATGCACCCGCCTCCCCATCTTTTGACCAACCCCACAAAACCTGCTGTCCTGACTTGAACTCATTCATTGAAATCAAGGTGGAAAAGGATGAATGAACTCTGCACCTGCGAATGACTCTGGCTTCTGCCACTCCCCATGTCCCAGAAATGGGCAGCCAGGGGGCTTCCCAGAGTAATGAGGTACCCTCCGCAGTCTGAGAAAGCAATTTGCCTTTCTTCTTTACACAGTCTCCATTGGAAGTGGAAGCGGGAAGATATGGTGGGATAAAAGAATTTATCTAGAAGGGGAGAAACTCCCCCCAGTGTGAATGGCAAGCCAGAAAATGCTTATTCCTCAGCATAAACGGTGCCTCGGAGGAGCCTGGCATAAGAAAAGGAGGAGGATGGGTCTAAGAAACATGAGGCCTTCTTGACATATGCCCTGTCTCTGAGTTGTTTCTGCCCCCACCCAGTTCAACCCGAGCTCTGGGAAAGCAGCCCAGGTTGTACCTTTTGCTTCCCCTTGACTGCTGGTCTTGCTCTGCAGTGGAAGTAGAACAGGACCAGTCCTGGAAAATACTGCCACCTGGTGGGCAGTTTCAATTATGGGCTTGATTCTTCTGAGCAAGAGAACATGGGTTCAATGTTTGGGAATTGGGATCTAGATACAGTAGCTATTGTTTATTGAATTATATAAGGTAGATTTTTCCATTCCTATCTTACAGATGAGCAAATTAAGGCTTAAGGAGTTCCCATATCTCACCGGCCAGGTTCTCTCACACTGTGTGACCAAGCTGAATATATATAGCTTTGTAGCTATTTCTTAGTCCTGTTAGCCAGGCTGCATTTTAGGGAGGGGATATGTGTATGTGTGCACATGCGAATTTTGACTGGATTGAGAAGTAAAAGTGACTCTATATTCATTCATGCAGCCATACAACAAATATTGATTGCTTACTAATGTTAAGGTACTGTGTGCTAGGTGCTATGGATACACTGATAAAGGTTAGATGCTGATCAGAGGTTCTGTTGGCTAGTCAGGAAGCCAGGCAGTTGAGTAGGTGATGAAATGAACTGTGGTAAGGGTGACCATGGTGGTGTGCAGGGTGCTATGGCAGTATACAGCAGGGGTAGCTAACCTACTCTTGCTGTCTGGAAAGGCTTCTCAGAGGAAGTAATGCTTAAACTGATTCCTAAAATGGGAGGAGTTAGCCGGGGAAAGGGAAAGGGAAGCTGAGAGTGTTCCAAACACAGGAAATAGCAGGTACGAAAGTCCAGAGGCAAGAGATTATGAACAAGGTCTAATTCTACTGCAGACCAGTTTGGGAAAGGGATAATGCTGAGAGGAGAGACTGGAGAGGTACAGACCTTGTAAAATATTTTAAAGATTATAGACTTTAGCTCAAGGGCAGTGAGAGATCATTGAAAGGTTTTAAGCTTGGAAATGAAATGATCAGTTTTGTGTGATCGGACAGTCCCCTACTTATGGTGGTTCAACTTAACGATTTTTCAAATTTACGATGGTGCAAAAGTGATATGCACTGGGTATGTTCCTCATCTTGCTATTAGGTTATATCCAGATAAACTCATTGTAAGTTGAAAATACACTTTCACCTTATGATATTTTCAATTGACAAGGGGTTTATTGGATAAACTTTATCCAGATGTAACCCCATCATCACTTGACAAACATCTGTATTAGAAGAATCATTTGACCTCAGGGCGTAAGATGGATTGAAGGGAGCAAGGCTTGGCTGGGAAACTTCTGCACTGGTTTAAGAGAGAAAAGATGGTGACCGGACATACATTGTGATGATGAGGGAAGGACTGGTTTGAAAGATATTTAGGAAGCAAAATTGACAGAACTTGGTGATTGACAGGACTTGGTTGGATTTGAGGTTAAGGGGGAAGGAGGACAGAGGGTTGATGCTCGTTTCTGGCTTAAGCAGCTAAGTGGTTAATGAAGCCATTTACTCAGGGAATGCTGGAGGAGCTAGTTTCAGGTGGTAGGGAAGATAAGATCAGTTTAGTGTTGGGTGCCTCTGAGGCAACCCAGTGGAGATGCTGGTAGTCAGTCGAGTTCTTTGGTCCCAGAAAGTCTGGGTTAGAGATATGGATTAGGCAGTCATCTGTTTTGGGGATGAAGAGGGCCTGTGGAGCTCCCAGCTCCAGTTCAGACTGTGGAGTGGCTACCCTGGGGTCATGAGCACTACTGGAGTATGCTGTGTCAGTGTATGCTTCCTCCCCTCATTCCTCTCTGCTTCCTGTTATCCCCTGAAAACACAGGCTCTTCGTCCCAACTGTGCCCATTGTTGCCAACCACTAGCTCTTGGATGGGCCTCCTTTAATGGCTTCTCAACTTTTCATAAGATTTAACTCTTATCCTTACTCCAAAGGGTCAAAGCCAAATATTAGGGGCTACGTGGATATTTTGGATGTGAGTAATTGAAAGGAAGAATCTAGGTTCTCCTTTCCCATCTGGAAACAGAAAAGGAGGGAAAGCATTACGGTTAGTTCTGAAGATGTTGCTCACAGCAGATTCTAGATGCACCCTAACAGCTCCCTCTGTTACGAGTGCTTTCAGTCTTCCCTGCTTCCAGTCTGATAGTAAACTCTCCTCAAGATCAGAGAAAAGCTGTAGGCTTGACCAGGGAAACAGGTTGATTCTCAGGAGAGAGAAGGTCAGGGAGACAATGCAGCTAGGACAAAGACACCAAATAGTTTGTGCCAAATTAATTTCCCAAAAGATATTAACCTCCTTTCTTTCCCCATTCCCTAAAGCTACACTAAGACTATAAAAGGTGTTCAAAATGTTGATATGAAAACAATATGCATGATTTGTTTGCATATCATTTTCATACTCATTTATTATCTAAATACAAAGGAGTCATTTTCCTTCTCCATTCTATTTCCTCCGCCCCTTGGCCCCATGGGCTAGTCTGGGCAAAAAAATTAGTTGGCTGGTATTTAATTAGGTATGTTTAGCTTCAGCCAGGGATTCTTCTTTTCTTTATTCTTGATCGTTCTAGAATGGTCAATATCAGCCTCTTTTTCTTTTCCATCTTGACCACTTTCACTTGCTATTTACTATAAATGACATTTCTTTTCTTCCTCTTAAGTTAGTACTTACTCTTTATCACCAAGCTTCTGTGGGCCAACCAAGGGGGGAGGGTATTAGCCAGCCCTGAAACCGGGCCTTCCGTGATCCCCACAGTCACCTGAAATATTTGCTAAAAATCTCATTTCCTAACACCAGGGGGTGTCTGTCTATCCCTCTATCTGTCCTACCCTTAAGGTAGAGGTTAGTTCCAAACCTTTTTCTCATTCCTTTCACTGCTTTTGCATACATGCTAAATCTCCTTTCCTCCCTCTAAAAATAGAGATTAGTCCTAAACCTTTTCCTCACTCCTTTTCATTGCTTTTATGAACACACAAAATCCCTCTTCCTCCCACCCTCCCTCGGCACCACCACAAAACTTTGGGTCCAGAAAGTGGTGTCTTTTTATTGCAGTTTATATGTCTCTCATTCTCCCTGGACAAACTTGCCCTTTCCTTTGTCTATGTATCCTTTGGTCTCCGCACCACCTACACTCTCCTTTGCTCTGGCTCTCCCTTTCTTTTCGCGACTTCTACCTCTCTATGTGCGCTTTCTCGCCTTTCAGAGCTGTCTTTACATACATACACGTCTGAACCTCTTTAGGGATCTGCCTTTCTTCCTTCTGTTTGTCTTCCTCAGTACGGCTCTCTCCCTGCTTCACCACTTCTGTACCAGTCTCTCTCTATCTCTCCCCCAGTCCCCCCACTAGGAACAAAGTCACGGTGTTTGCGCAGAACATGCCTCCCCTCGCCCGGACTCAGACCGTGACATTCCACGGTGATCCTCCGCGCATTCCAACTGCAAACAAAGAGTCCCCGTCCCCTTTCCTCCCCATGCTTTCCTGTTCCAATTCTTGAGTGTCGTAGTGGCAGCTGTCCAAACTGCCGCTTGTCCCCCTCTCCCGTCCGGTTCGCAGATCTCCACCTCCAGGGCAGTTAGCACTAGCGACCCCCAAAACACGCACACACCAGAGATCCCTGCGCGGACACCACCGTCGCTCTCGTACACACCGCGCTCCGCCCCACCGGGAAAGTAGATCCGGCCAGGCAGACAAAAGTTTGGGAGAGAAGTTCGGTCTGAGGAGAGCGTGAGAGCGAGGGGGGCGGGGGCCGGGGATAGTGGGGCGGTCTGGCGAGTCAACTCGTGAACAGATAGACCTGCGGACGGGACAGCTGCGGCTGCAGGCCCTTCTAGCCCCGCTTAACCCCAGATGCGCGGGGGGACGCAGCCCCTCCCGCTGGGGGATGCTGCGGGATTCTTGGCGCCGGGCATCCGGGCCGCCCGCTAAGCCCTTGTGCCTACCCCGTACCCCTGGGGAACCGGAGTCCAGCCTCAGGGAAGGAGAAGCGGCCGCTGAGAAGCTGCCGGGTGCCGGGCGGGGAGGGGGCTGGAGGCCGCAGGCCCGAGGGCATGGAGCGGTTAGGGGAGAAAGCCAGTCGTCTGCTGGAGAAGCTCGGCCGCAGAAAGGGTGAATCCAGCCGGTCTGGGTCAGATGGGACCCCCGGGCCGGGCAAGGGGCGCCTGAGTGGGTTGGGGGGACCTAGGAAATCAGGGCCCCGAGGAGCTACTGGGGGACCCGGGGATGAGCCATTGGAGCCGGCCCGGGAGCAGGGCCCCCTGGACACTGAGCGGAATCCGCGCGGCTCCTTTGAGGCGCAGCGCTACGAAGGCTCCTTTCCCGGGGGGCCGCCGCCCACCCGGGCCTTGCCTCTACCTCAGTCATTGCCCCCCGATTTTCGGCTGGAGACAACAGCACCAGCCCTAAGTCCCCGCTCCAGCTTCGCCAGTAGCTCAGCCAGCGACGCGAGCAAGCCGTCCAGCCCCCGGGGCAGCCTGCTGCTGGACGGAGCGGGGGCTGGCGGAGCCGGAGGTAGCCGGCCCTGCAGCAATCGTACCAGCGGCATCAGCATGGGCTACGACCAGCGCCACGGGAGCCCCTTGCCCGCGGGGCCGTGTCTGTTTGGCCCCCCCCTGGCTGGGGTACCGGCAGGCTATTCCCCCGGAGGGGTCCCGTCCGCCTACCCGGAGCTCCATGCCGCCCTGGACCGACTGTGCGCTCATCGGCCCGCGGGGTTCGGCTGTCAGGAAAGCCGCCACTCATATCCCCCAGCCCTGGGCAGCCCTGGAGCTCTAGCCGGGGCCGCGGTGGGAGCGGCCGGGCCTTTGGAGAGACGGGGGGCGCAACCCGGACGACACTCGGTGACCGGCTACGGGGACTGCGCCGCGGGCGCCCGATACCAGGATGAGCTAACGGCATTACTGCGCCTGACGGTGGGCACCGGTGGGCGAGAAGCCGGCGCCCGCGGGGAACCCTCGGGGATTGAGCCGTCAGGTCTCGAGGAGCCGCCAGGTCCTTTCGTTCCAGAGGCTGCCCGGGCCCGGATACGGGAGCCAGAGGCCAGAGAGGACTACTTCGGTGAGTGAGAGAGAACTGGCCGGGCGCGGGAAGGGACCGTCACCGCATTCGGTTCTTCACTGCCCCGACGGCCTAAAGTGCCGGTGTTCAGGGGTCTGAGGCGGAGACGCAGCACTAGAAAAGAAACAAGAGGGATGGACGGGGGCGGACCCCAGAGCGCTTTCCCCTTCCTACTGGTCTTCAAATGAACCAGGGCTCCTCATTCCTGATAAATTAAACCCCCTGGTTGTCTCGTGAGTCCCAGTTTCTTGAGCATTTGAGGCTCGCTTTTCTGCAGTACGAGGCCTCGTAGGGAAGGGACCAAGTGGGGCAGTGAGAGCATCCCCCCAGCTTGTTCCCCCCTTCACGGCGGTGCCCCTACAGGATTCTGAGCGCTGCTCCCCCACCCGGGCCCGGGCTCCGCCCGCAGGAATTCGGGGAATGCGCGGGTGGGGGGGCGGGGCAGGCGGGCCGCGTGCGTGCAGACTCCTGCCCGGGCGCTCCAGGTGCCCGCGGGCGGGGCCGGCCGCAGCCGCGCTGCCGAGGGGTGGGGTACGGGGTGGGGGTGGAGGGGCGCTTTCTAGCACGCGCGGAGCAGTGGCCGTTGTCGGGGGTATGGAGCTTGTAAGGAGGAAGAAATGTCCTGGGATGGAAAGCAGGGATCCAATTGCTGCCCCAGTCCTGCCGGCTAGGTGCGTGCGTGGGCATTTATGCAGAGACCGGGTGGTACCAGCCTCTGTTTTCCCTACCCTCCGGAGGAATTCAGGACAAAAGCCATGACCACTGGTGCACCATCATCCCTGGATGGATAACGACCCTGTGTAACTGCCAGAAATAACCTGGCCTTGAGTTCTGACCATAACCTGCTCAGAATTCAGGCCAGAAGTAGGCCCTTACATCCTGCTACTTTAAGGAAACCCTGTCGCTCTTTCCCTCCCCCACTCTGTTCAGGAAGTATTGATTGATTATACCTTTCAACTACAGGGGATACTGGGGTCTTGAATGATCTTTTAGGCATCAGTTTGCTATATAAAGAAATACTGATCTGATTGTGATTGGAAAGAAGTGGAGGGCTCACCCCCTCAGGGCTTTGGGCCCCTTCAGTTTTCCAAGCATCTGCTTCTCACCTTTCTCCCTGCCCTGGACCCCATGCTGTAAAACTCTATGGCTAGAAATGGGAATAGGGAGATGAACACAGCCAGGTGGGGATGGTTGGGGAGGCGGTTCAGGGGTAGCAGGGCTGCAGGTTGGAAGGGTCCTGCATAGTTCAACCCCATCCCCTCCCCATTCTTTTTTTCCCAGCCCCAAGCCCATCTCGAGAGAGGAAAGCCCAGAGCAGATGATGCTAAACTGCTCTGATCAAGGGAAACTGAGTGACAGGGCCCATTTAGCAGTTTCCTTTTGAGGCCCAGGAGAGGTGGCTGGGAAAGAAGTCTCTTAGGCTGAACCATCAGAGCCAAAAGGAAGAAAGGAACTCAGAGAGAGTGCAATAAAATGGCAGGAAGAACCTAGGTGTGGATATGCTGGGTTAGAGGAGGTAAGGCAGACATGCCTGAACAGTTTCCTCTTATCTTCCTATATTGTCCAAGGCTTCCCTAAGAATGGCTCTGACAGGACCCCCTCGCGTGGCAATCTTGAGGCATATCTCCATCTACTTCCATGAGGATGCCACAGTTTGAATTCAGGGGTGGGGGCCTCTTCTCTCTGGGGTCAAGTTGCCTCCCTCTGCATTACCCCTACAAACCCCTTCTACCCCCAGCCCAAGTTTGACTGTACCCTCCTACTTTTGCCCCTACTGGGGGCCCTCTTTGGCTTCAGCCTTGCCCAGCTGCCAGAGGGTGGGAGCAGGACAGGCCTGGGCCCATCAGTTGCTGCAGCTGCTGCACAGGCTCCCAAGCCCCTGGGCAAAGACTGGGATGGGCCCCAACAGGCAGGGAGTGTGGCAGTGTGCCGAGGGGAAGAGGTGGGGCAGGCCCGTTGGGATCTGCTCCCCAAAGACAGGCCCTAGCCCTCACTCATAGGCCTGGAATTGGGGAGTGGAGGGAGGGAAGAACACACCCAGGAAAGGCTGGTGCCAGAGCCAGGTGTATGTATCTTAGGGGGAGGGGTTGGGGGATTGTGTTGTGTTGGGGAAGAGCAGTTCAGTTCTGTGTCCCTCCCATGATAGAAGGTGACATGGAGGCTTTAGGGATTCTACTACCCTTCCTCCCTTCCTATGCAACCGTGGTTCCTGGAACCACCCTGCATTTTCAGCAGCCACCTCCACCTCCCACAGGAGTCATGCTCACACGGTCCCCTCTGAACAGGGCCCTGGGCTGAACCAGATTCTTCTCTCCATCCTTGGCAGCCTCCTGCAGAGAGAAATGTTGTGGCTGAACAGTAGCTTGTTTTACTGATGGGGAAAACTGAAGTCCCAGAGAGGCTTTCTGGGCCTGGCTTTCTTACTCTAGGAAGTTTTTTTATCTGCTACTGAGCCCCTGTGGACCAGCATCTCTGACTGTTTGTCTCACGTGCTGCAACAGGAATCATACCTTGCCCTGGTAGTCATTTCTACCTAACAAAAACTAGACATCTGAAGACCAGGGACCATGTCTTTGACTTTCTCCAATTTTCTTCAGTAGTGGGTACTATGCTAGGCACAAAATAGATGCTCAGAAAATGAGTCATCAAATGAACAAGAATGGCTCTCCCCAGCCAAGATCTTTCTGCATCCCATTACTTGTTAATCTTCTCTTCCCAGAAGGGATCCCATCAGAGGGAGGCTGTGTCCTCTGGTACATCAGAAAAGAGCAATCAGGAAAGCTTGGGAATCCCTGGTTTGAGCTAGGGGAGTGGGGTGTGACACTGACAACCTCTTCTCTCCTCTTAGGCACCTGTATCAAGTGCAACAAAGGCATCTATGGGCAGAGCAACGCCTGCCAGGCCCTGGACAGCCTCTACCACACCCAGTGCTTTGTGTGCTGCTCTTGTGGTGAGTACAGCCCTGCCACTGTAGCACCCCCTGCCCCATACACACTTACAAGTGCTGTGGGGAGCAGGAAGAGATGTTTGCTCACAGAGCAGCTGTTGGGTCCCCACCTAGTGTCTGGAGGCCCACCTTCTCTCTTGATTCCCCTCTCTGCTCTACCTGGCTCTCCCCCATGGGAAGTCTGCTTTCTGGAGTCCATCCTCCCTTCTTCTGCTCAGACTCCTTCCTTTCCTCTGTTGCTCCCTCTTTCTTATGCCTTCCTGCTCGCCCAGCCTGGACTCCTGCTGGCCCTCCAGCCTCTCCTTGGTGGGGCTTGGTCTTGGGCAGCCCAGTTGCCTGGGGCGACAGTGAAAGACTGGAATGTGGGAAGGGCTGGGGTGGGCTGGGGGAGTGGGGAGCTGCGAGGGGTGGAGAGGGGGGTTTTCTCTTGGCTGGTCAGAGTTCAGCCACCTCCCTAGAGTGTAGGCCACCGGGCCATGCCAAGCTGATGACATCACGCTTCAGGAATGCCCGCTGCTGTTAGCTCCGGAGGCCCGCTTGGGGTGGGGGGGGGTGCTCACAGTGCTTGGGGGGGTTCTCACAGTGGCCTTAACTCCCCCCTCTCCTCCCTCATTACCCCTCCCCACTGCTTACCCATTCTGAGTCCTTTGCTAAACCTTTAATCTCCTATCTCTGCCTGACTCCAGCACTCAGTTTTTCTCTCACTCCCCCAGCTCTGCCTGGTTCTCCTCAGGCTCATCTGTCTGTCTATCTGTCCTGTTTATAGGGCCTTTTCTGGCTATGTCTCCCTTTCCCTCTTTCCTCCCCTGAATCTCATGAGTTTCTAAGTCAGCTTTTCTAAACTGTTGAGGAGGCAGGAACTGGAAAAGCAGTGAGCAGAGGAGAGGGAAGTTGGCTGGAAAGAGGCCAAAGCAAATTGGAATTGTATCAGGTGGGATTTTTGTGTGGGAAGGGAGGATAGACAGCAGTTAGGAGGAAAAGCACTAAAGTCCAGGTTTAAATATATCATGCAACATTGGGGAGCAGTGACCCCAGAGTAGGAGAAGTCCTGTGCCTGGGCTGTGGGATAGGTTCCAGCCCTGTCTCTGCTGTTCTAGGGCGAACTTTGCGTTGCAAAGCTTTCTACAGCGTCAATGGCTCTGTGTACTGTGAGGAAGATTATCTGGTGAGTAAGGGGTCCCCTGGACCTGGAGTTGCACCCACACTGGAACCTCCTTTTCTTGGTCGCCCATTGGGGTTCCACCCATCATTCTCAGCTTAGTAACACCCTCCCTTTGTCTTTTCTTCCTAGTTTTCAGGGTTTCAGGAGGCAGCTGAGAAATGCTGTGTCTGTGGTCACTTGATTTTGGAGAAGGTAAGGAAAGTGCCTTTGGCTGAGACTCTGTGAGTTGCAGGCTGAGGAGTGGCATCAGGGACACTGGTAGAAGGTTGGGGGAAGGAACCTATCACCAGATGAATCACTTTCATCCTATTCTTCCCCAGAGGAACTGTTGACAGTGACTTCCCTCTGCTTGTGGGATCAAGTCTGGGCTCCTAGGCCTGCCATCCCAGGCTTCTGTGACCTGGCCCCTCCCTAATTCTGCGGGCACAGCCAGGCCCTCTAGCTTGAGCTAGGAGTGTGGGGTCCTGGGTCTTAATCCCCTTTCTGCTACTGGTTGGGAATATCTGGAGCTCAGTTTTCTTTCTTGTAAAAAGGAGGGATTTGATTAAATCAGTGATTCTCAATCTTAGCAGCCTAGCAGATCACCTGGGAAGAACTTAAAAAAAATAAAAATACAATAATGCCTGGGTCCCATCACCAGAGATCGTGATAATAGGTCTTGGGTGGGACCCAGGCATTGATGTTTTTTGAAAGCTCCCTAGATGATCCTAACATGCAGCCAGGGTTGAAAACCACTGGCCTGAATGCTCTCTAAGGCCTTTTTCATGGTTTCTGCCTCCATTTTAAGACTTTTTGGTTTTCTCAAATTACATATCATTATTCTACTAGTTTAGCAGGGAGTTGGATGAGGTTAGCAGGAGTAGCAGGGAACGTAATAGGTAGCTGGAGAGCTGCAACTGGAGGGAGACTGATTCTTTTCCCACCCTATGAGCCAGATCCTACAGGCGATGGGGAAGTCCTATCACCCAGGCTGCTTCCGATGCATTGTTTGCAACAAGTGCCTGGATGGCATTCCCTTCACAGTGGACTTCTCTAACCAAGTGTACTGTGTCACCGACTACCACAAGTGAGTCCAACCCTTGAAGTGTGGTGTGGAACTGGGCCCAAGGATTCCCCAACCTCAGCTCATCTCTGCCCTCTGTCTTTCAGAAATTATGCCCCTAAGTGTGCGGCCTGTGGCCAACCCATCCTCCCCTCAGAGGTCAGTATGTCTGGGCAGTATGCAGGGCAGCCAGTGCTGATGCCCCTAGGGAAGGGATGGGGACATGCTGCCTGGCCTCCCGTGGGAAGTGGTGGTGCTGAGGAATGTACTCTGCAAAGATTCCCGTGTGACTCTGCTCTTGGGGTCACTACCCTGACCCTAACATCCGGGCCTGGACATGTCTGACAGCCTCACTGGGCCCAGGCTCTGTCTCTGCTATCCCAGTCCAGAGGAGGAGACTTTCTTTGAGGTCAAGGTCACCAGATCCCAGATGTAAGGGCTGGAAAAAGGTGGGGAGAATCCTTAGGGCTTGTAGGAAAGGGTCAGAAAAGATTTAAGCTGTGTGTGCAGAGGGTGTGCCTAGGGAGAGAAGCCAAAAGCCATTGAGGAAGCAGACCCTGTTGAATCTCCTTGTCCCCAGCCTAGCCTACTTTATTTTTGCCACCTGCCTGTTTCCCTTCCGTCTGCTTCCCCACAGCTGGGAGAGCTAGGTCAAGGCCAGGGCCTGTAGAGAGGGAGTGCTCCATGTGGGGGGATGCCCAAGGAAGAAGACGGGAGAGTTCTGGTAGGATTTGTAAAGGCGTCTCAAAGCTACAGATGATTGCAGAGAAGCTCTGGGACCTTTGCGATCCTCCCATTGGGGTGAGAGGGGTCATGTATGGGGGGAGGGTGGAATTTGGGGGCATCATGCTGCTCTTACACTCATGGGGGTCTGCATGTTTCAGGGCTGTGAGGACATTGTGAGGGTGATATCCATGGACAGGGATTATCACTTTGAGTGCTACCACTGCGAGGTGAGTATTGGGGTCCAGGACTGCTAGAGAAGTGGAACCAGGGAAAGGGGAGGAATTAAGTCCTACAACAGCGAGGTGTCTATGGGAGAGGTGTAGGGCGTGGGAAACCAGAAGGGTGCTGTGACCTCTCTCCAATCTCTTTCTTGTCCTCCAGCCACTCTCTTTGGTCTTAGTAGTTTAGTCCTTTCTGAATCTGACTTCCCCAGAGTCAAGACTCTAAGACTAGGGATTCCTGGTAACTGCTGGAAATGCAGCTTGTCTCATTATTTCTGCTGCAGCAGCGACACCTGGTGTCCAGATGAGGTATTCTTCTCAGGTTTCTCTTGCATACCTTCCATCCTTCCCTCCCCCCAACCCTTTCTTCCAGTTATTAGGAGTCTGGTGTTGAGCAGGGCAGACTCCCAAGATGTCCTCAGTGCCCAAGCTGCCTGGGCTGAGGTGAACTAGGTGCCTTCTTCCCTAGGACTGCCGGATGCAGCTGAGTGATGAGGAAGGCTGCTGCTGTTTCCCTCTGGATGGGCACTTGCTCTGCCACGGCTGCCACATGCAGCGGCTCAATGCCCGACAGCCTCCTGCCAACTATATCTGAGCTGCATTCACAGCTGCTGCCATCACAACATTGACATACTCCTCTGGCAAGTGGGCCCTGAGGCCAGCAGAGACAAGGAATGCACTCTACAGGCCTGGCAGAAGAGTTCTTTGGGGAGGACTCCAAGGGCCAGAGACCCAAAGATTATGACATTCCAAATGGACTGTGGAGGAGGAAGCTTCTAATTGCCAGGGTGGGGTGACTGGAGTTCTTTCTGTGTATGCAGCCTGTGCTCAGGCACATAGAGGCCTGTTCTAATGCTTTCTGAACATCTGATTCTTGTCTATATCTTCAGTATATGTTTGTGCTTAAGTTAAGCAATGATTTGGATTACAGGAGGAGAGGACCTACCTTTAGGTGAGCTAGTTTCAACCAAACTGACAAGAACTAAAAGTGTTTTGCTCTCTCCAGCTCCCCAAAACCCTAGAGTTTTGGGGTTTTGGTTGATGTAATCTCAGATCCCTCTGAGAGGTAGCAGGTCTGGAGTGGTGAGTTACTGCTGGGGAACCAATTGTGAGAGTCACTCAAGAAGAAGAAAGAAGTGACAGAGAGCGTGTGCGCGCGTGTGCGTGTGCATGGGCGTGTGTGTGTGTGTATGAATGCACCTGTATGCATACACTAGGCTCTAGGGCTCAATGCACCTAAACTTAGGAGTGTGGCTAGCCTGAAGTTTCCTAGACATCCCACCTAATAAGTTCCGTATCCACAGAGACCCACTCATTACCTCCCCCGGCTGAGAAGAAGAGCAACCAAATATAGGCACCCGCTGAGCCTCCCAGGCCCATGTGAGTCTCTGACAAACAGGCAGTACAGGCAGCAGGCTCACCCAGAGCTGGTCCCCATTCCCAGCAGAGGGATGAGGAATTCTCCTAGTCCTTAGAAGAAAGCCAAGAAACAGCTTATTAAGAAGGTCCAGAGTTTCTACCTCTTTATCTAGATACAGAGATAGGATACTATGGTAAGCACCTGGCTGACACCATGTGTAGGGCACAAAAGCATGAGGAGCTTACACTTGCTTCCCTAGCTATAGCTCACTCCAGGCTCTCAGAGGCATCCCAGATTACATCAACCACAACTCCAAAATTCTGGGGTTTGGGGACCTGGAGGGAGCAAAACACTTTGATTTAGTTCTAGTCAGTTCGGCTGAAACTAGTTCACCTAAAGCTAGATCTCTTAAAACCAATTCACAGAAAACTTGTTTACTTAAAGTTCAGTTCACTTAATGACCAATTTGCCAAAAGCTCAATTACCTTTTCGGTATTTTTATATCCATGTAGATGTCCTATTCTTTTTTGTCGTGCTTCGGGTATTTCAAAGATTTCTATCTGTTCATCCAAGAGTATTTCTGAGTTATTATCAGCAACATAAATTTATCAAATTTGCAGCACTTTGCAAATGAGGAGATTGCTTCCTGCCTTTATGGATGTCTTTTTCTATGTTCTCTACTTTTCAAACACTTTTTAAAAAAAGTTTAAAGTTTCTAGCAATAAATACAATTGGTACAGACATTTTGTGTATCATTTTTTGTGCTTCTTAATCCAATGTTCCTTTACAAATTAGATGCCTTGAAAAATATAATGGAGCTCAATATGATTTTTTTTTGAGACAGAGTCTTGCTCTGTTGCCGTGGCTAGAGTGAGTGCCGTGGCGTCATCCTAGCTCACAGCAACCTCAAACTCCTGGGCTCAAGCGATCTTACTGCCTCAGCCTCCCGAGTAGCTGGGACTACAGGCATGCGCCACCATGCCCGGCTAATTTTTTCTATATATTTTTAGTTGTCCGATTAATTTCTT